TGACGTTACTAGCTTCTGCAGGCATGAAGTCGCAAAACTAGACTTTCATCGGCCCCGCCTGGCCTTGAGCATTTTTGGCCAGGAATGGCAAGGAACGTACAGAAATGGAAAGGAGTGGGAGATAGCTCGAAAGCGTTGCAAAGGAATGGAATGAAGTGGAAACGACATTAACAGACATGGAAAGAACTTGGAACGCAATTGGAACGAAATGGCGGAAAATGGAAAAGACATTGAAAGGATGGAAAGGACACGGAAACATACTGCATAGCAATGGAAGGAAAGGAACAGGGAATGGAAAAGAAATACACAAATACAGGGATATGAAAGAACATGGGAAGGAATGGAAGGGAAGTGTAAAATAAATTGGAACATTGTCTTAGATTCTTGCAAATTCTTATTTCCTCAATATGGCCAATACTTTTAAAAAATATGAAAGGATCAATCAGAGATTGGATTGCATTGCAAAGAGCTCGGTCGCACACGCATCTTGCAAGGGTCACTGGACTTCCCCCTTCAAAAGTTGATCAACTTACCGGTGGTTTCCATTCAAAATATCGCCACTTTTGGCGGTTCCAAGAGGGGAAGTGGAGGATACCCTGTCATCATTCTGCATGGTTTGCTATTCTTCCAACAGAATACGAAAAAAAAATGTTCAGGACCTTCATAGCTCGATGTACCCCAGAGCTCCCCTCCCGGCCTTGGAGGCGGCCTTGGAGCTGTGGCTCGGGAGCCGCGCCTCGGTGCCCTCGGCCGTGCTCTCGCTGCTGCCCAGAGCGTCCGCGTCCTTCGCGGAAACCTGGAAGAACCAACCCCGCCCACCAACCAAGAAGCAAAGCAAAGCAAACAAAGTAAAAAAACAAAAAAACAAGCAACTAAGTAACTCGGTAATAAACTAAGCAAGCAAGCAAGTAAGTAACTAGCTACCCACCTGCCTGCCAACTGGCTGAACTAAACTAAACTTAACCTAAGTAACTAGCTAGCTGGCTAACTATCTTAAACAACAAATTGTGTTTTATGTTGCACACGCGTCACTCTGCGCAATCTCACATGCAAGTCAGTCCGAGTAATCTCTCTGGGCAATATCTCCTACGCATCTTTCTGTGCAATCTCTTGGGCGATCTCTTTGTGACGGGTGCCGGCGCAATCTCTCGGGTGATCTCTTGGTGACATTTCTCCGCGCAATCTCACAGGCAATTTCTCGGTGACATGTCTGTTTGCGATCTCTTTGGCGATCTCTTGGTGGCGTCCCTTCGTGAAACCTCTCAGGCTATTTCTCCACAAAAAACTCGTCCCTATCGTTCCGGAGAGTGCCTTGGGCACAATTGTGCGAAAACCTGCCAAACCAAAGACACAACAGAAAGAAGCGTTTCGGACATCCCTTTGATAGGTACACCCCAACAAAATCAACAAGGCAAAGCTCAGAGCAAACCATTGGAAAGTTGTAGGGATTCAAAGGGGTCCATCTAGTTGGTGCGTGGGTTCTCTTTTTTCTCTTTTTGGTCGCCGTTGTTTCAAACAAGTGCATTCACATGCTAAACTTAGGGGAACCTGGATGGTGACTGAATTTACACCAAACACAAACCACCCAGTTTTGGGGGGGGCACCCAATCTTTGGAAACCCCAGGTTTTAAAGGAGCCTTCCTGACTCGCTTCGCTGATCCTTTCCTGCAAGAAGTTTGAGCTTAAGGAGCGTCTTGAAAGCTTGTTAACTGACAGTCCTGGATAAGTGGTGGATGGGTGATCATTCATGATAATTCAAGAACCTTTTTGTTTCCTCCTTGCATCAAGCTTGGTGACTGGCAGCCACGCATAGCGGTGCTTCCAGCACAAGTAGAGAAAAACTTCACCAATTCGGCGGAGTAAGCAAACTGAATTTAAGCGTCTTCTGAGTATATCTGTCACCCTTAAGACGTCGTTGCAACCATTCGGCAGCAGCATTACCACAAAGCAAAAAGGGCCGATGATCAAGGCCTCCATGCTTCATAAGTAAGCCAATTCTGCGAACACTCCATGCACGTGTCACCATGTTGAAAGGCAAAGGGAGAGCCCCTTTCCTCACAAGAAACTTGAAAGCAACTTTCCACGCATACACATCAACGCCAAGCTGTGACTGCTGAACTTGCGCAATACCGTCACTATGACGCCATCTGTAGTCTGGCTTGGAGGACCGAGACCAAGGCATGCGAGCAGGGGCAACGCATCCCGTCCACATGAGCCAGTCAAGGTAGAGTTCAACCCAGCTCACTTGATGAATGGACGCCGGCTGTGTGGGAAACCAACGCAATTGTGCAAAGTAACTGGCAATCATGTCAAGAAAATCTTTTGGCCAATGTGTATTCAGGCAAGCCCTGTGAAGCGCTGGCCAGTTGACTGGCAGTGGCCGTCCTTCACCTGCAACATGTAGCACTTTCAGGTCGTAATTAGGCCCATCCCTGGGTTCTTTCTTTTTGGCAAGCTCAAACTTTCGTTCAGCAACCGCAGCAAGAAACTTCTGATAAGAGCACACCTGTGATCGCACAAAAGTCTGGGCATCGCGCGCCCTCACATATGCAGCTCGAAGAGGGGCACATGCGTTCTCAACTGCCTTTTTTGCTGCGCAATCCGCAAGGTCATTGAACCATCCACGTTCACGCATTGGCTCAGGGAGATTCTTCCAATCTCCATGCGCCTTTGTTTTGCAGACAGCAATTTGCACATGCGGCTGACTAATGCAAGATTTGAATTTGCACCAAAGATCACGATTAGTCCAAAAAGGCCCAACACATCCTCCTTGCAAGAGGCAATTTGCTCGCGCAACAAAAAGCTGATAATCCGAATAGATTGTGGCACATGTGTGAGTCTGCACTGCAAGGAGACCTGCAAAGACCTCCGCTCGGCCTGAGCTTTGTGCAATTCCAGGCACAGTGCGCTGGCAAATCACCGTAGCCTGGTACTGGGCATTCCGTCGTACCACTGCAGCACCGCTCAAACGCACTAATCTATCCTTCATGTCAGTGCACGATCCATCAATGTACACACTGCATGGCTCACGAAAAGGAGGAGGCAATGGCTCATCCTGCAAATTCTGGAGCCGCAACCAGAAATCCCAAACAACCTGTTTGACGGGCCCAACTGCATGCCAAGTCAAGAATTCAGGAAGCCGCTTGAGGGTGCTGACATTCAGAACAAGGTCACGCCTAATGTCGTGCAATTCCGTACACTCCAAGCGATGGGTAATGCTATCCGTGTGAAATCCGCAAAATGGACAAGAAGGGTCGCTCTCAGCCAAGAAGCATGCAGTGCGATCATGTGTATATGCAACACCGTTGATATGGACCCGGATGGCACCCACTTCAGCCGGCGTTAAAAATTTTCCTAAGCGCACTTGATGCTGCAGATCAATGTAGGACACATCAACATGCTTGCGAGTGCGGGCAATGCGTCCAGTGACAACCCTTCCCCACTCAAGCTTCAACAGATCCCTGACAACTGAAAGGTCCTGCTTCATGATATCAAGGGAAATCCCATTATGCAAAACAATAACCCCGTCACTTTGCAGCCGGAGGTCCCATCTTTCCAAGCTGTCATGCAAGGCTTTTGCTGGTCCATTGCGTAATCCCGGCTCCGACGCCATCTGGAGAAATGATAATTCAAGAACCCGAAACAAGGGTTCTCCGAGAAAGAATCTTCATGGATGCTCAGTCGTAGCCTTGCCGAGGTCAGCACAATGTGCCCAGTTGAATGTTCTTTCCTCTTGCAGTGCACCTAAGCTGTATTCAAACGGAAAACACATCTGTCCGACTTCCAAGTTTGTCGGGGCGTAGACTGGTCTAAATCACCTTCACCAGAACATCTTCCAAATCACCTGGTAAATCTCATACTCAGCAGGGCCAAAAGGCGTCCTTTAAGCAATCCTGAACCGGTTTAAACAGACCCGATTATTTGCACCATTATCTAAACCTATAGATCAACCTGTTTGAACTCGTTTGCCTTTCATCAACGCTGGCCATCGAAAACATATCTCCGCTACCGGGCCTTGCCGGTCGCAGCCTTTGCGGCCTCGTGCTGCGGGCAGTACCTTGCTCAAAATGTCGATGGGTTGGAAGAAATGAACGTCGCAATCAAACCTGATCAACTGGATCTATCCGAAGCCAAACAAACTGAAAGAGCGGCAAATGGCAATCTGTGCCCTGTGGGGTTGGGACGAGCCGCTAAACAGGTGTTGATTGAGTTTAATGGACTGCTCCAGAAGCTCCGGAACAAAAACAAGCCACTCACAGCGACAGAGAAACAGAGAGAGAGAGAGAGAGAGAGAGAGAGAGAGAAAGAGAAAAAGAGAGAAAGAGAGAAAGAGAGAGAGAACGAGAAAGAGAGAAAGGGAGAGGGAGAGAGAGAGGAAGAGAGGGAAGGAGAGGGAGAGGGAGAGGGAGAGGGGTCACAGTTCTAGGCGACGTGGGGAGACGCTGAAGTCAGGAAAACCAGATTGGGTCCTTGTGACAGGGAGGGCTTCATTGTAGCTTCCAAAGCACCAACAGGACCATGGGGCTAAGCCTTTTCAAGGTATGATCAGCTCGCAAAATCTTTCATACAGGTGGCAGCACGACCAATCATTGCAAGGACAATCAATGGATCTGGAAGGCTTGTCAGCAGTGTCTGGGATTGAGCAACCCTGAAAATACGTCCTTGCCCCTAACAAAACCAGGGACCAACTCCATGGTTTTGCTGTTGAGGTGAACCAAAAGGGGGTCCGGGTTGTGATACGGAATTACTCATCTGATTTCAGGACTGATTGGCGGGCCATGCAACACAGGAACAGCGGATTGCCAAGCTCGTTTCGTGTGTCAATCGTAGCTCTCTCACTTCTTTCTGCACGATAATGAGTCAATATCTGGGACCCGTTTGCTGTTCGTGTCATAGATTTCAAAACAAGATCGAAAGAAAACCATTCCAAGAGGGTCTCTGATTCTGACATACTCCCTCTCTGCTTGGAACATGCGAACCCACCAGCCGGCGGATTGCCTGGACGGCCGGCCGAACCAACAGCCGAGTCGGTCGCTCAGGTCACATCAGCGGGAAGTAGAAGCGGAGGACCGTGAAGCCCAGCAAGCAGCCTCCGCCGCTCCCTTTAAGCGAGGGAAAGGGCGTGTCTTTGAGGGGACACTTTTCACCTGAAGGCTGGCAGTCCTGCAACCTACCGTTCCAACATCTGGCCATGTTGGGAATGAAGAGGGATGCATCGTGTTTGCCACCAGCCATCCCAATACCCCCCCCTTCACCCCCCCTTCCCCCTCCCCCCCCCCCCGCCCCCTCTGCCCCCTCTGCCTCCTCTGCCCCCTTTGCCCCCTGCCCCTTCGCCCTCGGCCCTGCCTCCGACAATGAGGCTGTTCATCAGCAGCGCCGTGATGAAGGCATCCAAGTCCCCCGGCGCATTCATGTTCACCCCGGTGACTTCTGCCGCCGACGCGTCCCTGAGGCTCGGCCATGAAGAACAAACGCGACTCGCAGCGTGAACAAACGATCCTTTAAGGGAACCAAAAGGAAAACAACACCATGGGGGGGTCTTCCTATTTTGACGCTGTCCTGTAGAGTTTGCAGAATGTAAAAACATAGGTCGGCATGACATTTGAAGAGGTCGTTCTGGTTGGCACATTCCAATCTAAGACCGGGAATGCACCGGAGCCTATCAAGATTGAAGAAAACAGAAACACTGGAAAAGCAAATGGAGAAGCAAAAAAGAAGCAACGCCGTGAGATATGGTTTGCGTAGGCTGCACGCTGCAGGGGTCGCTTGCATTGCACATGCAAGGATAGAACTGAGATTTGTGCAGCCAGTGACTGGTCAAGAGCATTGGTCCTCTGAAACCAATGAACCTGTCGTTGCACAGTACTCACGGCTCCAAACAGTCCGCGGCTTCCCCAAACGACGAATGGGGGAGAGGTTGTTGATGAGTCTTACAACCACAAAATCCAACAGGGGTACTTCGGCTGAGCCAATGAGCTCTTCCGGCCAAGCGGCTTGTCAATCATCCCTGACTCTGAGGTCGTAGCATCTGCTGGGGCAGACGTAGCATCTGCTGGGGCAGACGTAGCATCTGCTGGGGCAGACGTAGCATCTGCTGGGGCAGACGTAGCATCTGCTGGGGCAGACGTAGGTTCTGCTGGGGCAGATGTAGCGTCTGGGACAGCGGCTGCAGCGATTTGCAGGCCCTCAGAGAAAACTTGAACCGATCAGAGGACAACAAAATCAGACGGCCCCACATGTGGCAAACCAAATTGCAGCTTTAAAAGCATGGAGGGCGTGGCAAAGTGAAAGGCGCAACCCTAGGCCACGAAGACCACGGAAGACTGTGAAGCTTTGGCCAAGTGATGGCAGCTTGAGGAGCTGGGTTTTAGGTCCATTAAAGTGGGATGGCATTTGGAGGGTCCTGTCTTCTTGCTTATGTATATATATATATACTCTGCTCTGTTGTTTTCTTTCTTTCTTTCTTTCTTTTCTTTGCTTCTTTTTTTTTTTGGGGGGGGGGGGGGAAGTGTACTCTTCAATTTCTACACGACTATTTGCAGGCAAACTAGCCACTTTGATGGACCCAGAGGTCACCAATTGATGCTTCAGCCAAATCACGGCCCTGTGGCAACTGCGACAATGGACTGGTGATCCACTGCTGATGCTACACATGAGGTGAAAGTCACATGCAACAAGCTAAGTACACGCATTCTTGATTGCAAGGGCCGTTGCATAGGCAACCGAAGAAACCTGATGACAACAATGAACAACGGCAATGCCAGTGGCAGTGGTCTTGGGCCATGATGGCACACCAAGGTTGCTCAGAATCTCAACAATTGTCGCACTCCCACCCTAGACGCTTTCTACATATCGCATAATCACGGCTAGGCAGTGGCGAGGTGCTGTTTCCATGAGTTTGACCAAAAAGCAAGTTCGGTGCGATCCGGATGCTGCCTTGGAAGTTTGCTGGCGACTTCTAACCACCCAGCCCGCTGGCGCAGGCAAGTCCGATAAACAGTGATCAAAATGGCCTTCTCAGTGGGCAAAAAGCAACAAGCCCAAACCCATCACCGAGATTCCAAAAAGATCCAGAAGGAAGGTACACCGCCCCTATTTTCGGTTGGCTTCAAAGTGAAACCTTTGGTAGAGGCATTCCTGTGACTCAGTCCCCCGCCACAAGCACCAGCCAAGCTATCCGCATCATGGCTACGCAAAATCAGCAGGCTTTGACGTCGCTAAGCGCAGTTTCCGCCGCTTGAGCTGACAAGCGAAAATGGTGGTCAAAACTTTGCCGCGGGACCAATGGTGATTGTACTTGGAAACCCCTATGATTGCCAAGATACTAATCAGAGGGTTGATAACCACACTTATCATCCAGGTTTGCATGAGAAAGCTCTCAGAGGATGTAATGAATGAAAGAAAGCGCCACTGTTGGACTGTTTCTGCGGATGATGAAAAATGATGCACTGCTCCACGCCCCAACATTGAGGCCTTGCCTCTGTGACAGCTTTGAACGTG